TCGCCCACTGCCTCGCTAAAAGGAACCTAATGGATCGTACACCGTGTAAGGTAGAGATTGAAGATTCAACGGAGATGAGTAAGAATAATTAAATGGTTTAATTATTTATGGCAAGGATTAATTAATATGATTATTAATCAAACGAATAAGTTCGTTGAAGACCTCGGGATAGTTTTGGACCTTAAGGCCCAATGGGCTTCGAACGTCAAGTCCATTGACTTAAGTTGTATGACAACTTAATGAATAATGATTCACAAAGGCCCAAATAGCCCAAAGAATACCCTAAGGCCGGCCATTTAGAGAAAGAGTGGGCTTTGGACTTATTTACAAGTTTGCCACTCAAATGAATTAAGGTATAAGTTTGACTTAATAGCCAAAATTCATTAAGTGTTGTTTTTGGGGAAATTGGAGAAACACAAACTCTTCTTTCTCTCTAGAAATGGCCGGCCACCTTGAGGATAACATCTAGCAATCTTACTTCCTCAAGGTCACTCATTTCTTCTCCAATCTTACCTTGGTGTGGAAACTTAGAGGTTCTCAATTTTGGGAACTTGGAGAATCCTTTTCATCCATTCAAATCCATGGATCTAAGATGCAAGGAATGAAGGCCCTCTCTTTGGGTGATTAGCCTTTGCTTATGCAAAGAGGAATCTACAAAGGTATTGATTTCTCAACTCACTTTGTTTTGAGTTGAGTCTTGGTTCACCTATCTACTAGGCTTTGAATTTCATGGGTAAATGTTTTGTTTTAAGTGCATACAAGCATGATTCCGCCTTTAATTGTTAATTGCATGCTATTGATGTTGCTTAAATGAACATGTTTTTCACAAATTTTCCTTCAAGCACATGAGCAGGAAACAGTATGACGGCTTACAAGAAACCTTATCAAACTTCGTAAGTAAATCATGAACATATTTACGTTGATGAACATGTAGGCTAGTGGAGTCATGAGTAACCTGCAAAACGTAATTGAGAGAACCTAAATCCTTAATGTCCAACTGTTTACCAATGAGATCAACAAACTGTCTAGCAAACTATTTACCAATGAGATCAACAAACTGTCTAATAAGATCGAGGTAAGTACTAGTGACAATAATATCATCCATATAAAGAAGCAAAAATATGTTGTGAGTTAGGCACTGACATATAAAAAGATAGGACTCAGTAGTACTTTGAGTAAATCCAAGAATCAGGAGGAAAGAACATAATCGGTTAAACTAAGAACAAGGAGCCTGTTTGAGATGATAGAGAGATATATGAAGTCGATACATATGGTGGGTGCGTGCAGGGTCAACAAAGCGAAAGGCTGAGCCATGTAAACATCTTCCTAAAGAAACTCATAAGAAATGCATTTTTGACATCTAATTGACATAAATGTCAATCTCGAAAACAGCAAGACTGAGAACAATGCGAATAGTGGTAGGCTTAACGACAAGGCTAAAAGCATCGGCATAGTCAATATTTGGTTGGCGATGAAAGTCCTTTGCCACATGACGTGCTTGATACCTTTTAACATAGCCATCTAAAAGTCTCGGCATAGTCAATGTTTGGCCGCTGACGAAAGTCCTTCGCCATATAACAAGCTTGATACCTTTCAACAGAGCCATCTAAATTACGCTTGATACGAAAAACCCATTTGCAACCAATGATATTCTGACGTGGATGAGAAGGCACATGAGACCATGTTTGATTACGCAAGAGAGCATTCATTTGCTCCGTCATGGCTAGGTGGCAGTGTGGATGTTTAGAGGCTTGTGAAAAACATGTAGGTTCATCAATTTCAAGAGAAGGTAAAAAAGCATGCGAAAGAGGATACCGCATAGTGCCATTAATGTGGTTTTTGGTTTAAATGATCCTGTCACGAAGCTGCATAACCATAGGATTAGTGGATGTTGTAGATAAAGGAATTGCTATAGGATTAGACACGAGCCCAGAAGCTGCTGGTGAAGGAATGGGCACATGCTAGTGATAGTTGGCAAATAAATGGGTGTGGGCCTAATGGCATCAAAGGAAGGGATAGGCACGGGCCTATTATGACCTATTATGACCTATCATGTAATTGGATCGGGGCTTGAGCTAAGCCGAATGACATATATAATGGGCTTGGGCCTTAAGCGAAGTAAAGTTCCAAAAGCAGGGCGCGGGCCCTGATGAGATCTAAAGCCCATAATCACGTAGGCTTTGAGAGGCAGGCAATGATGGATTTTAGGGTCAAGAGGCAGGCCCCATGAGGTGGATGGGCCATAAGGGGATGATATGTATAAGGCAGACCTAGAAAAGGCAGGTGAAGGCATGTGCAGTGGGATGGCCCGCACCGGAGATTCGTACACTCAAGGGACTATTATAAGGGCACTATGCTGAATTGGTGGTGTGTTGGCTAGGTGACAAGGATGGCAAAATGAGTTTGTGCAATATTTGAGTGAGATGGCCTAGGTGATGGGAAGTTCCGTATAATTCAAGGATGGCTTGCATTAGAGACTTGTACACTCAAGGGACTAGTATAGGGGCACTGGGCTGAATTGGTGGTATGTTGGCCAGGTGACAAGGATGGCAGAATGAGTTTGTGCAACATTTGAGTGAGATGGCCTATGTGATGGGAAGTTCCGTATAATTCAAGGATGGCAATAACTGCAAAGTACTATAAGGAAAAGATTCGTTAAAAATAAGAAAGTATCATTCACATATCCTTGTTAATTTTGTTGCCATTGATTTTTTTTCAATTCATTCGATCAAAGGCCGAAAATTGAGAAGGGTGTGTGAAAAGTAAAAATAGATGTGTGGATAGGACTACTCTAAAAATAACATGACGAGATACATAGACACGACTAGTGGAGGGATTAAGACAACAGTAAACTTTATGATGCATGCTATATCCTAAAAAGACACATGTTTTAGAATGACTTTCAAATTGATGAGCAAAATAAGGTTCAAGGTGAGCAAAACAAAGACAACCAAACACACGAAGATGAGAATAAGTTGGAGGATGACCAAAAAGAACGGCTTCAACCCATAAGGTGTGAGATAAAAAAAGGTATTGCGAAGATTAAAATTGGAAGAACCAAATGAAAGAGGGATGCTACAGGTATAAGTAATGTGCATAGTATCACCATTACTCAAATAGACGTTAGAAGGACCTGCATAAGGTTGCATGTGAGAAACCAAAGACGATTGACCCATCATATGATTGGTAGCACCTGTGTCAGAATACCAAACTGGTTCCAGTTTCTATGAAAATTGAGGTTCGGCGAAGGGCGGGGCCGAAGTAGGCCTACTAGAGCGATGTGGGCAAGTCTGATGAGTGTGTTGAGAGGTGTCGCAGTTGGAACACCAAAGCTGGTCCAACAATAGAAGGAGACGAGTTAGGCCGTGAGCGGTGTCGTGCAGGCTACTGGAGCAGGGAGGTGTAATAGATTGGACCTGCACTTGGGAAGAACAGCTGAATGTTGTTGACTGGACCCACGCATTGAGAAAGCTGGGGCGGTATGTTGTGGCCTGGGGCCTCACCAAAGAATTGGTGCGGCTTTCGGCTGCCGTGTTGCCATAGTCTTGGCAATTTTGGGGCGGCTTATGGCTGCCGTGTTGCCGTAGTCTTGGCAATTGTCCAGAAGAGATGCAATTAGGAGGAAAACAAAAACTTGAAAGAAGTAATGGACAAAAGATTAAACTAATAGCCTAATTGGAAAACGCAGGAAGTTAGGTTTGTTATTTATTTATTATGTCTTGCGTGTGTGAGTGATGCAGAGACGACAAAAGGCTAGGATACAAGTGGGTAAACAAAAGAGATCAAAGGGTGGACGACAGGAAACCGAAAAATGGTGGAGAAAAATAACTGGTTTGTGATTTTTTATTTTATTTTTCTCTGTGTTGGCTGTATTGGACGACAAGAGAGAGAGAACCCTAAAGACCAAAAGCAAAATTTATGACGAATAATATTATGTAGAAAATGATTATAGGAGGTGTTATTGGTATTTCAAAAAACTTTATAAGTGTATTTTTTTTTCCCAATATAGTAAGTTTGGAGTGTAGAATGAGATTTTTGAAGTGCTAATAACAATTCCAAATGACTATTTGTATTGATGTTTGAAGAATATTAATCTCAATTACAATTGAAATTTATAATACTGTTACAATCATTGAGAGGATTCCGGATTAACTAATGATATCTACAATTAATTAATTATAGTCACATGTAATTCTAATATCCTAATGAATAGGATGTTAAATTTCTATTCATTCGTCTCGTCTCCTTCCTCTTAATAATAGTAAACTTAAAAAATAATAATAATTATACTCGTTTTGACAAGTTATGGTCCAAATCATGTATAATGCACTTGCCTGGCAACTTCCCTCCTATTTCCTCGAAGAAATTAAGCAAATCATATATGTATATGTGTGTGTGTGTGTGTGTGTGTGTGTGTGTGTGTGTGTGTGTGTATGTATGTTTGTATTAAGCCCTACTTTCTTCGTTCTTCAAAAAAAACTTTGGCAAGACAGAAACCATGTCGGGTGCATTTCAAAATAGTGAATCTAATGACTTCCAAGAAATTCAGAACCAATTCAATTCCTCAATGCAATGGGCAGTGGCCTTATCTGTTGGTAAGTAGCCACTGTAGCATCTCCAGAAGCTGCAGGCAACAAATGTTTAGGAAAATATGATGCTTCTGCTTGCTAGTTTCTACTTGCTGCAAACATGGTCTCAAATGTTAATGAAAAATTCGTGTTTCGGGTCAACCTGCTTAACACGAAATTGGTATTAACACGTCTATGTAAATCTTGTAATTTGTCAAACACGAAAGGAGCTATTTATATGATTGCAGGTGAAACGACAATTTTAACCCTTTTATTTAGGGAAGTGTTATTGGTACTCCAAAAATCTCATTCTACACTCCTCACAAGTGTATTTTTCTTTCCTAATTTAAAAAGTTTGGAGTGTAGAATGAGATTTTTGAAGTGCTAATAACAATTTCATTTATTTAACTTAGACATTATATTTATGTGTATTTGTATTTATGAACATTATATGAACAAATCGTGTTATTATCTTGTAACACGTTTGATAATCACATCGTGTTCAGGATCGTAAACAAAGACTTAATGATCGGGTCATGAGCACAACTGGATTATTTGTATGACTTATTTTACAGTCTATCATCACTGCTATAATTTTTTTTGTAAGTTTGTTTTTAATTAGATTTGTTTTCAGTTTCTAGTGTGGTGGTGACCATTGCAATTGTAGCCATCGTATATGCCATCATTGATTGCTTGAAAAAGACAGGAAGCGCTATCCGGCATATGCCCGGATAGCAAACAGTTACAGTAGTATCGACAAGTCTTTGAATCCAAATCATTCATCCGACGATGTAGCAATCGACTTAACACCCGAATTGCAGCAAGTTCGAAGCTCACAAGTTGAGTTTCCGACGGTCAAGGGGTTTCTTAGCAACATGTCAAGGTGCTTACAAACACTGGGGATAAGATAGTCGAAGATCAATTCATGGCGGAAGTTGGCACCTTAAGAAGAACTTACCACATGAATTTGGTAAAACTATACGGCTTCTGCTTTGACCACGAAATGCGAGCACTTGTCTATGAGTACATGGAGAATGGATCACTTGACAAGTTCTTGTTTAGTGAGCATAGAGAAATAGGTTTGGAGAAGCTGCACAATATCACAGACCAAACAGCAAAAGGGTTGGCTTATCTGCATGAGGAGTGTGAATCATTCATTATGATATTAAGCCCGGGAATGTACTTCTCGATAAGAATTTGAATCCAAAGGTCGCAGATTTTGAACTTGCCAAGCTTTGCAACAGGGGAAGCAGTCAAATGTTGTTAACCAAGGGAAGAGGGACACCCGGATATGCAGCACCAGAGATATGGAAGCCTTATCCGGTTACTCACAAGTGCCATGTTTACAGTTTTGGCATGCTCCTCTTTGAGGTTGTTGGAAGGAGGAGAAATTTTGATGAGGATGTAAATGAGTTACGTGAATAGCTTCCGAGGTGGATCTGGAACATGTTTGACAACAATGAATTAGAAGAGGTGCTGTCGTTTTGTGGGATTGAAGAACAAGACAAAGAAAAAGCAGAGAGGATGATAATGGTAGCTCTGCTGTGCATTCAGCACGCACTGGAAGCAAGACCTCTCATGAGCAATGAAGTGCAGATGTTGGAGGGACATAAGGAAATTGCTTCACCGCCTTCTCCTTTCCAGCATTTGCAGTCGCCGCAAGGAAATTTAACACAACATAGTGGAACAGATGAAGACTTGAGTTCTTCTGCATCAGCCACAAAGACTTCTGCACAATGCGAGCACCCTTGTAACACTGCTGTGCAGAACAAATGTGAAATTGAGCTAGCTACTTTTTAACAGGTAAAGAGATTGATGGTTGCGTGTGTAAGACAAAAGAACAAATATACTGTTGGTTTTGACACTTTCATGAAATTATTTCATTTACTGTTGTAGAATGTAATGCATTTATTCTATAACATGTATGCTCATTGTTCTGGTTTTTGTAGAAGAAAAGGTTGCGATAAAAGTTAAAGAAACTTCACGGTGGTATTTCAATTCATATTTCCTTATTAACAGTCGAGAAATTTTATAAATGAAGACCCCGTAGAAGATTAGTGAAAAAAACAACGTTGTATATATATGTATATGCACCAGCAGCATGAACCTTGACAAATCATAATCACCATTTTTGTAGAACTAGTTAAGATTGAATATCGATATAACTATATTACTATTAGAGCAAGTTGAATGCAGCATTGGATCCACCTATTTCGTTTGGATAGGATGAGTTGCTACCTGACATGATTGGAACAAATAGTCTCCAGTTCCGCAGCAGGTGGATCTTCTTCAACTTCTTCCAAGGACACGTAACCAAGATGTGTGGCAGCCCCTCGCAGAAATGTCCGATAATCCTGCTCCCAATAGGATTTATATCTGCTGAGCTGCAGTCATACTCTGCAGGAAAAAGAAAAGAGTAGTTAAATATGAACTAGCAGGAGGATCAAGATTAATTATTAAGACAAGACAATTATTTAAATGGAATTGTCGTAAAATTCCAGTAACGATTATACCCATAAAACATACATACATGGACACATAAGGAGAAGGAAGGGAATTCAAAGACAATTTTTACTTTGTTTTGTGATTGTTTTCCCGTTAGTAAATGAAGCAATGACAGCAGTGCGGAAACAAAAACGATGACTTCCGAGGTGGATCTGGAACATGTTTGACACCAATGAATCAGGAGAGGCACTATGTTTTGTGCATTTAGCATTCACCTGATGCAAGACCTCTTATGAGCAATGCAGTGCAGATGTCAGATGTTGGAGGGAAATAAGGAAATTGCTCCATCGCCTTTTCCTTTCGATCATTTTCAGTCGCCATAACAAAATTTAACACAGCATAGTGGAATGAAACAACAGATGAAGACTAGAGTTCTTATATATCAAGCACAAACACGAAATTTAGATTAATCTAAACCGCGAGGTATGTCTCTGTAACTCGAACAGGGAAAGATATTTTCTTTTTTATACTAGCGATATTCTACTTTAAATTTATTGAGTTTTAACGAAACGTTCTCGGTACAGTTTACTTTTAATGAAAAACCACATTTTTATCCGGAACTGGATCCCCAAAAACTGAGCCTCCTGAGTAAAGAATTTGGGCCATTAAAATTTGATCCAACAACTGCAAATAGAGAGCTCTTCTAAAAGTTATAATAATTGTAGCAGCTGAATCAAATTTCAACAGCCCGGATTCATTGATTAGTGGTCTCAGTTTTTTGGGATCCATAGGGGATCCGGTTCCTTTTTACCCTTCTTTGGTACTATTCATTACACATTTATTTGTTATTTTTCATTAAAACAAAGTTTTTTTGAACTTTTCGTTAGTTTTCCTTAATCTAAACTGCGGTAAGTGAGTTTTAAAGTCGCGTGCATAGAGAGAAACACATATGTTCTAATCAATGTGGCTACGCCTGCGTTTGCAAATAAGGAATGGCTGCATATGGGAAAGGACCGTAGAATGTGTATACAACAAAAAGAAAGAATAAGATTCCTTTTGTCATGCACATATTAAACGATTTTTCGCATAATTGTTGGAGTAAAGAATAAACCATAACAAAAGCTAAACTCTTTTGCTTCAATTCATTAGTTCGATGTAAGATTTGTTTGAACCATAATAAAAGTAAGGACTGGTATGGGGCCTAAGTCAAATTTTATTTACGCAAAATCGTACGATTCCGGCCCATCCACTTCGAAGCCCAATCTAGGATCTTATTAAAGGGCTCGGACAACCCTTACATTACTCCAACCCATCCGAGAGCTCGGACTCGGTTCTTTCCGAAGCATGTTTGCCATACAAAAATCAAGTTTGGGAATATCTTGCCTCCTTATATGCCAAATGAACATGTCATTCGACAAGATGATGTCATTGCGATAATCTTGCGAAACGCCATAAGACATAGTTAAAGGCCACCAACTAGAAATTACAATCATTGTCAGCGCTAAATGAGCGAACTACCCATACTCCATCTCAACGATAAGATTGATGTTCCTCCTTTTCCACTACCTATAAATACTTCCAAAGACCTTCAAGCTCAGAACGTTTGTTAAATTCAATCTCCACGTCTATACAAAACCTTGAGTGATTCTTCAATCAACCCAATTGCATTTCAGCACAAACCCAATTTCACTTCAGCAAAATCTTTAGCTTTTTAGCTATAATCTCAAAGCCTTACTTTGAAGCAAACACTTTAATTCAATATTGTAGCCTGGAATTAGTTGTAAACTTGTAAGTGAGCCCATTTTAGGGCATAAAAACCTTAGATAGCTTCATTAGATAATCAAAACTTATTTATCTTGGCAACCGATAATTTTAGTGTCAAACACGTGATTTATGACAGTTAAAGCTAAAATTTCTTACTACGTGAGGGGAGACAAATATTATTAGACTATAGCATCAACTCATTTTGATGTAAGTTGGGGTTTCTCTTGGTAGTACTATATGGCAGTCTAAAATAGACTCATCAAGTTTCACCCAAATCTGGCTTCATGAAAAAAAAATACCAAATAAATAAGATTGGTGTTAATTCCACCCCCATTATCTTACATCTTTGCCCACTTTAAAATATAAATGTCATTGACAAATATCTCCTCTTATACAATGACCTTTAAGGACTTAAAATAACTACTAATATTTTGCCACGTCAACTTTAGTTGAAATAGCATAAAACAAAAAGAAAATTAAAAAACCACACCACTGTATAAACCCAACCAGCCCACACCTGCACGCCTCCCTCACGGCGGCGTCGATGCCAGCTGCTCCCTCTTCAAATCTTCTCTTTACCCTTTCTCTCATGATGATGTGCAACCTTAATCTAAATCCTGCGAGTGACGAGAGTTCCATCTTTGAAGGTCAATCTACTTCTTTTCGCTCTCTCGAATAGATCCGACATATTCCCCTTATACTAAGCTTGTAAATTTTGATTTGAACTCTCTTTTCGGTTCCTCTTTCTCTCTGAAATTTCTTCTGAACAGAACCCCCAATCCAACAAGAAGAGTAAGGGAGTGAGCGAGCAAAAATAAAAAATATTGAGTCTGCCTTTTTTTTTTTTGGGCCAAACTAAATTACTACTTAAAAAGACAAATACATGAAAAGGGCAAATCCAAAAGGCAACCCACTACATCCAAAGTCCGATATTCAATCTTTAATTGGCAGTGTCACTTGGTTTTTTTATGACATATATGTATGCATGTACAAAAATTAAAATTTAAAGAAATTTAAAAGGGTATAATTGGAATAATGGTGGGTGGGAATAGAATGATATTATTATTATTTTAATTGTGATGGGAATATAATGTGAATGGAAAGATAAGATAATGAGGTGGACATAGTACCACTTATAAATAAGGGCTTATATTTGAAAGTGTTTTTAAAATGACTGAAAACACTTTTAGAGAAAATGTTATAGTAAGAAGCATTTCAAGTGATTTTCAGAATCCTCTTGCATTTCAAGTGATTTTCAAAATATTTTCACAAAAAAACACTCTTAGCAATCTGAAAAGTGGTTATAAACAAGCCTTAAAGATTCATTGTTAACTTTCAAGGAAAAGTAGTTGAGTAGTTAGAGTGAAAGCACTTAAGGGTACATTGCTAACTTTCAAAAGGAAAAAGGTATAATTACAATTTGTTGATTAATTAATGGCGTGTTTACATATGGGGAAAGGAAATGGCGGAATGGGAGTCATTCTCCATTCCTGATTATTCCTCTGTTTACCAGTTCAACCGGAATGAACTGTTCTGTGGGCCCCACGTAAAATTAGGAATTCAATTCCTAATATTGTCGAAATTGGATTACCTAGAAGAAAGTAGTATTTGGATTCCGGGGAGAAGGCTCCATCCGGAATCAGATTTTCCTTCCCAAAATACCCCATCTTCTCGTTATCCTCCGCCATTCGATCTCCAGTAGCTACATGCTCCTCCAACACCTTCTCTCTCTTCACCACCTCAAAATCCTCCACACATTTCGTTCATCCCACATTTTCTCAGCAACCAAACAGCAGAAATCGAAACCAATTCATGAAATGCCAACACCCAATTCAAACACTGAATAGTTTCACGATTCAGAGCTCAAATTACTACCCAAACTACATTATTCAGCAATCCAAACAGAGCCTAAGTAAGAAAATCCAGAAGCAATCAAAGTTACAGATTGCAGATCACCTCTCCTTCCGTTCCTGAATGTTTTTCATCTGAGCTCTGTGGTGGTTCTCTATGAACTACTTGGCCGCCGTCGCCTTCTCCATCGTCAAGCTCGACTCCAGCACCTGCTCCTCCCGATCCTCCATTCTTTCTCTCTCTTCACTCTCACGGTATCGTCTCTTTCGATTTGGGGCTCGGCTGTTATTCAACCCAACAAACCCATCGCTCACTACACTTCACCTTCATCTATGCGCCACACCTTCCACCTCCCCGTGTAGCCATGCCTTACTCCCCTGGGCAATGCCTCACAAAACCCAACCACATATCCCCCAAATCGGATTCAAGAATTTATCACCCAAACCCTAGATAATAAACCCATATCCGTTGAAGAAATCACTCAAAACCTATAAAATCTTGAAATTGAAATAATTGGCAGGGAGGAGGGGTGGTGATTATGGGGTAGGGTGAGTGGGAAAGATGAAAGCGAGGGGGAAAAGGGGAGGGAGGAGTTCTTATTTTTTGCTGTGCTAGGGAAGTCTGATAGATGAAGGTTTACCATAATGACATTTTGTGAAAATGTTATTAAAAAAATATGGGAAAGAAATAAAACAAAAAGAATAAGGGCATTTTAGTAATCATATTGATTTCTATTCCAATTCAGATGAATTAGTAAACAACTTATATGAGTTTCGTTTCATTTTTACTCCGATTCCAGAACATTTAAGTAAACAGCTTCAACAGGAATCTGATTCTGATTCCTCCTCAATTCAATTCCTCATGAATTCAATTCCTCTATTTTGATTACGGTTACGTACACGAACCCTAAATGTAGTTGTGTTTGTTGGGAAAGCACTCGTAATGAAATGTAGTTGTGTCATAATGAAATGTAGTTGTGTCATAATGAAATGTAGTTGTGTTTGTTGGTAGTTGTGTTTGTGGGGAAATCACTCATAATGAAATGCAGTTGTGTCATAATGAAATATAGTTGTGTTTGTTGGGAAAGCACTCATAATTACAACTAATAATGGTCTAGCAGAAATTTTCTTTAATTATATGTTAGAAGTCTCAAGTTCTTCTCACATGGATGACAATAACATATTATAATTGTGTTCGATATCTATTTAGTGGTTGACTCGTTGTGTGGTCTAGTCTAATTACATTTTAAGTAGAGTAAGATATCCTAATATTTTTGTATTAGAAAAAAAATCAAATGAAAAACCAAGTGTTTATTGACTTTGTTTAGGAAAATAGTAAAAGGATGATCTAGGGTTTTAGAATATGAAAGTTACACATTCTAAACAATAATTGAAGTAATGTTTACGTGATAAAGAAAGCATTTAGTTTTGATTTTTTTTTTTTTTTTTGCGGTGGAAAGTGGAAACACATGGGTAAAAGGAAAATTGACAGTACCATGAGAATTTTATTGATAATGAAAAATAAGTTACACCTAATTAGAAGAACATAAACATAACCCTTATAATACAAAAAGAAAAAGATAAAAAAATACATTAAAAAAGGAGACATAAACCTTATCATTCTAAAAACGAAAACAATAAAAATACAAAGAAAATCATCTAGTGATTGCACAAATAAATACAAAATAGAAAAAGAAAATCAAACAAAGTACATTGCAAATTTCTCTTAATCAATTAAGGTGAGATGTTTTTAATTCTCCCTCCCTTTAAACATAATTTATATGAAAAAGATAAGCTTCGCTTAAAAATAAAGAAATCTATCAGAAAGATAAGCAGACGATCCCTATTAAAAAAAAAAAAAAAAAAAAAAAAAAAGGATCGGATCCAAGTGGAAAAGTATATATGTTCTGATTCTGTGAAGATTAAAAAGGGGAACATAATATACGGTACACCTTTGGAATCTTGGATTTTCCAAATCAACATATAATAAATGTGTATATACATGTAACATGCACATATAGTGATAGTCCATGAGCTCTCATGTGTTTTGTTATGCAGGAAGACAATCTTGCACGTCATGGTCATGGGTGTAACGATATGGGGATGTTTTGTATTAATAATATAATTATATGCAGAGCGAAATTAACACAATTTTTTATATTTTTAATATAAAACATACCATACAAGTCATTTTTAACTTTGAATAAGTGAAAGTAAGTATGACCAGTGGCGGAACCACATCTGAATAAGCCAAGCCCATCCTGAAATTTCATCAATCTAGGGTTTGAAACTTGCTGTGCCAACAACCTTCTCTATAAATTGAACTTGGCTGTTGCAAATTCATTAGAGCAACTCCAGCCCATGCCCTTTGGACTGGCACCAAGTGAAGAAAATGGACTGGCACCAAGTGAATCTGCTCCAGCCCGTGCAATTGACTGGCACCCAGCCCGTGCCAGTCAACAGCCCAGCCCAAAATGGACAGACCCATGAGCCGGTCTGTTTCTGGCGCGTGCAACACACGCGGTGCCCGGGGCGCGTAGCCGACAGGCTGTGCAGGCGCTGGGGCCCGCGTGCCAGTCCACTTGCAGTCGTTCGGGGTGAAGGATACGTGGCCTCCTCAGATTCCAACGGCTAGTTTTTTAGGCCGTTGGATTTCCAACTGTAAAAAAAATTTAAATTTAAATTTTAAATTGGACCATCCGATCACAGATCAACGGTCCACGTTTATTTCACCAAAAATTTAAAAAAAAAAAAAAAGGCCCAACGGTCAGAAATTTGACCGTTGGCCACGTGGCATCGTGTTGGCTGTTGGATTTGATTATTTTTCAAATCCAACGGTCCCGATTAATTACAACATTAAAATTTATTAAAAATTAATTAAAAAATGTCAAAATTTTTAAAAAAAATACAGAAAAATTTTAAAAAATTAATTTTTTTTTTCTATAAATACCTAACCCTCATCTTAGCGGAAATCTATTCAAAAAATAGTACGTTCGGATAATGACACGTGGCGTGACGAGATTGGTTAAAAATCCTATCCGAAATTAAAACTATTTTTTTTATTATTTTATAAAAAAATTATTTAATATTTTAAATGGACTGGGTGCGAGCGCATTTTGTAGGGGTGGAGATCGTTTGTGCCAGCGCATTTTTAGACTAGGTGCCAGCACATTTTTTTTTGGGGTGGAGATGCTTTGGCCTATTACTGTTCATTGAGTCTGTTACTGTTCAATTAAGTAGATAAATGGGCTGGGTGCTGGCGCAAAGTGGATAGGGGTGGAGTTGCTCTTACTTACACCCAATTCCGGCTGGACACGTGTCTAAGTTTTTATTTTTTAATTCAAACTTGGACACACGTCCAACCGGAATTGGGTGTAAACAGCAACAAAGTGTTCTCCATTCTCTATTTTTAAAACCCATCCTTATAACTATGATTCTGTTTTATCATATAAAAATCAATTTCTTTTAGACAGTTCATATTAAATATGGTCTATATAATTTAGGAGAGGATCCAATTATGTTGAAAACAAAATCTTATAGTAAAAATTTTGAGTCATGATCTTAAATTTTTGTGTTGAATCTAATGTGTTAATTATTATTATTATTTTTTTATCAAAACTCGTAAACAAATTATATTCTTATGATATAATCATCTCAATACTAAATTTTTCATACAAATTTTAAAGTTCCATCACTCTTACGTGATTAAAATTTTCTATGCCAATAAAAAAACCTTTAAATTTTCTCTAATGATTATATTGCTATATTTTGTCTAGTTTATTACCCTTTTTAAAGAGTCCGGATCCTCTTAGCGAGGATCTCGAGAATCTGCGTATCTTGTCTGTTCATCGTACATCGTGCAGTTAAAAATCATTTTAAAGTTTATTATTTAAAATTGAATACAAAAGTACAAAAATAAAAAAATAAAACCGACCGTACGATATACAATGAACGGACACAATTTACGGATGCTTAAGATCCTCATCAAAAGGATCCGAAGAGGATCCTGTTGGCATTCTAAAATCGATTTGTGACTCGAGTGTGAGTGGTTGGTAGATATGTCTGTATTATATTATCTACATAGAATACAACTCAGCTTACCTTGTCCATACTCCATACCTCATATAAATATGAAAATAATAAAACGGAAGATAGACATAAGACATAGAATTCCGAATCTTGACTGAAGAAAAAAGAATTCCTAATTATAGAAGGAGATTCGTAGGCCTTCAATCAATATTATAAAGGAAGTATTAACAAAAAATTCACGGAACTGTTTATTTTAACGAAAAATTACATTTTTATACTAAATGTCAAACCTAGTACTATTCACTTTACCCTTTATTTTGTTCTTATCGTTAAAACTCAAAATTTTCAATTTTTTTCATTAGTTTTCCTGATTATAAATTATCTATTAGTATTTTTTTTACTTGTAATATTAAGTTTGATTTTCGTAAAAAATGAACCTAAACAACATTGTTATCAATCTATTATTTATAACATGCACACAACGTTTATTAAAAACAATAAAAACTCAAAAACTGTTCTCAATTTGTGGTGTACTTACGAATTTTGAGTCTTTTTCTTTTTCCGTTACAAAAGTAATTATTTTTGTTATGTTACAGCGAAAATTTAGAGTCGCTCTCCTGAAGTCTGGCCCTCTCTCACTCTCACTCTCACTCTCATCCGACTCCCAATCAGCTTTTGTTTGATACCATCTGTATATATATTTAAACAAATTGGTGCCCTCCAGCGACTGTATCTCTCTCTCTTATCTCACATCTCCCTCTTCAGCCTCCCTCGAAAAGTCTCTCTTTTTTTTCTGCTTCTCTCGAATTCTCCTTTCGATGTAAAGACATTGATTCTCATCATCCCACGTTACAATTCAAGCGATGTTTTCACTTTTTATTGTTGCTTCTGAAAAATTAAGAAAATGTAGGGATTGTAATGCTTACTTGTAAGTTTCAAGTAATGGGTTTGCGTTACTGTGCAGATCTCCGCAACTTTGCGTTAGGGAAGTTCAAGAGGAGGAGATGTCGAAGGCTGGAGCATTGGATCTCGCATCGGGTCTCGGTGGAAAAATCGACAAAACCGATGTTCTCTCTGCTGTTGAAAAGTACTTCCAACTCTCTGTCTCTCTTAAATATGATCCAGTGTGAAGTTTGATTGTTTCTCTCTAGAAACTTAGATTTCATATTGCACCCACCAACTCTAATCATTCCTTGACGTTGATGGTTTTGTTCATTTATTTTGTTTCAGAAGTAAATACCTAAAGTTTTGATCTTTGTATTTCAAAAATAAATCCTTGATGTTTATATCTTTGTGTTTCTCTCTCTTGATTAAGCTTAATCTTTCTTATTCTTACTAATCTGGAAGTGGGTTGAGCTCTAATCTTTTCTTACCATGATGTTTAGAAAAATCTTAATTTTTTATGGGATTAATGCTAATTTCTTTTTCTTTTGGCATGCGATAGAAAAACTACACTAAATTTACTTAAAACTACGGGGGAGAGGGATTCGAACTCGGGTGCAAAGGGTGGATTAATGCTAATCTTGATGTGGGCTAGTAAGCACAATCAAATCAAGGCTAATCTCAATTATCAGATGTCTAGTCATAGAGATTGGAACTCGGGTTTAGAGGGTGGGTTAATACTAATTTCGACTTGGGCTAACTACTCACAATTATCAGTTGTCATAGAAAAATAAAAGTATATTAATGATCTGTAGATTTTGTGAAGAAGGCAGTGTTCAGGGGTATATATCTGGGAATGTCTGTAGAGTCACGTGAGTTATGGGGAAGTCTGAGAAGTCCATACAACGTGTGGTGCAAGACTGCTAGAGAAGTCACTTGCATAGGAAGTAGACTTCGTGCCTTAAAAGCATTTAATGGTCCCATTTCACAAAGGTTCCGAAGCTTCCTTCTTCTTTTTATTTTTTATTTTTTATTTTAATTGGTTACCCTAAAACAATTAGGGGAAAAAAAGGATTCTGGGAAACTTGCAGTAACTTTGATCTGGCACTTGGTAAGTGGAGGAACTCGTGATGTCTTTGGTGAGGTTTGAATGTTGGTTGTGATGTCCTTTTCTGTCAGAACTAGCTAACCAAAGAGTAAAGCTTTCTATTTGAATATATGAGATGGATATTTGGTACTACTTGTAAGGTTTGGAAGTTTTGTTTTGTAGTTACATTTTCCTTTTATCTATATATATATATATATATATATTTTTTTTTTTTTTGCCTGGGAATTCATGAATTATGACAATTAAGTACTTAATATTTTTTTTCTGTCCTACTAATAGAAATTGAAATTATGGAAGCAGTACTAATTCTGTTATAATTATATTAATGGTTGTTATCCCTTAAATGAATATAAAATGAAAAATATACAGTGGGTTTAGAATTTTCACTTATGAATTATGTATGTAATGGAGATGAAAAGTTTGGAATTCTTGGAAAGAACCACTTCAAGGAAATTTGTAGTATGGCAATGAAGTTCTCCTTCGGGGAGCAGTTGTAGTATGGCTACGAAGCTCTCATCTTCAATTTTGCTAACCTGAGTGTTGACTGAATTTGATGATAATATGCCAGAATATTGAATAGAATTTAAAACAATAAAGCGTTTTACATATTTATCGAGTTGCATGGCTTCAATTCCCGATCCTTTGTTTGTGCGGTGACACAACAAGACTTTGAAAGCTAGTTTGTTCAATTTTGTGAAATGATTACATGTCATTTGTAGCCAAACATGTACTCTTCTCATACATGGCAGTGCAAAGTTCCTAGAAATTGTTTTGGGATGTCGTGTGAAATAATGTAACTTGAGTTTTTGCAGATTTTATGGCATATGTGGTTGTAATCTCAGTTTATTGAGTAATGGTTCAGGTATGAGAAGTATCATGTTTGTTATGGAGGGGAAGAGGAAGCAAGGAAGTCCAACTACACTGACATGGTAAGATAGACTCTTGTATCAACCATTTGTCTTCTGAGGATTGTCGGTATACAAGCCTCTCTTGCTAATAAGCTGCATACTTTGTTCCCTCCTGGTTATACCTGATTTAATGTCTTATTTTTTTTCTTTCTGTTTTTTCAACTATATTTTCTTGTTTGGGATCATTGATCTCCTAGGGATTGTGATTTTCTCTGTTGGTTCTACTATTCACCAGAATCACCACAGGGAAAAATGTTCTGTTTCCCGATGATATTATTCACCATGTATATATTATTTATATATATAATCTTCCACAAATGCTCCTCCCCCCACGACCTCAAAGGCTTCTTTGTTGTCTTATAATATCACCTAGTTCATGTGATAAGACTCAAGATAATGGCAAGTTGTGTGGTTACTTTTGCATTTTGGACGAGATATTAACTTTTATGATAATTAAGATACATTGTATTATGTCTATATGGGAAAGTTGGCCTTTGCAATGTCTTTTGAGTGTAAAGATTTAATGGCTCATTGTTGTCAATTTAATCTGATGAAATTTCGGTTCAAGCTTGGGATGTCATACTTCACTAAATTGGTTCATTGGGATTTCAGGTTAATAAATACTATGATCTTGTTACAAGCTTTTATGAGTATGGTTGGGGAGAGTCTTTCCACTTTGCAACCAGGTTCCTCTTTTTTCTTCGTATCTTCACATGCAAGCAATGAAAACATTGTATCTCTTATAAGAGTTTCTGATGGATGTATTGCTCTCTTGCAGATGGAATGGGGAGTCTCTTCGAGAGAGTATCAAGCGACATGAACACTTCCTTGCTTTACAACTAGGACTCAAACCTGGGCAGAAAGTTAGCCTTCCAAATTAGACTTTATGGAATATAGATTAGCAAGAGAAAGATTCTTTTATGATTTGGTTCAAAATTTCAAATTATTGACTTAGTTTTCTGTATTTTTTGTTTTAGGTTTTGGATGTAGGTTGTGGAATTGGTGGACCACTGAGAGAAATATCTCGCTTCAGGTGAGTGCCGTTTCTTTTATTCAGGTTTTGGTTGATGGACAGCGTTCTCATGGCTGTAATATTTGAATACGAAGTGGCATATGCAGACTATCCTTTATACTGAAGATGAATTTTATAGGTTGTTTTAGTTCTTATGAATATTAAATTTACCGCTGGGTTGGACTGAAAACACCTTATCGGAAGACCTCCTATTATGCGTATGGTTTATTCAATATGTAAGATGATACCATTGTGATCTGTACTTGATATGCTGATGTCAACTCTAAAATTTAGAGTTTAGTGATTTAATTGTTCGAGAAGAATCTCTATGTGCACAAAGATTTTCTGTGGTGGTTTGTGCAGCTCAACATCAATTACTGGGTTGAACAACAACGAGTATCAGATCACAAGAGGAAAGGTAGATAATCCTATGTATACCGGCGACGATTTGTTTTGAATAATGAACATAATCAATGCCCAGTCTTGATGGTTTCTCAAGATAATCCTTTTGTCCAATTCAAAATTATGAAGCCTAAATGATTTATTTATTTAGTTATATTAGAATGACCACTGGGATACTTCAGTTTCAAAGTGGCCTAATACTATCATGCTTTTGTTTGCTCTGTAGGAACTAAACCGTAATGTAGGAGTGGACAAGACCTGCAACTTTGTTAAGGTTGGTAGCATTGTATATGATGTTCTTGTTCAACGTAGAAAGTACCTTTTTTTTTCCTTTCTTGCAGTAATACATAGGAGAATGTGGAGAGAACTCGTTTATGTTATAGATCTAATTCTTTGCACTTTATAAATGGTGCAGGCTGACTTCATGAAACTACCTTTCCCTGAAAATTCATTTGATGCGGTTTATGCCATTGAAGCGACCTGCCATGCACCAGATGCAGTAAGTCATTCTTGTGGCTTGAAACCTTTGGGCTCTTTAAGTTAGTGCATCATTAACTTCCACCTGTTTTTCTGTTGGCTTAACGTTTCCATCTGTCCTGGATAGTATGGGTGCTACAAGGAGATTTACAAAGTACTAAAACCCGGTCAATGTTTTGCTGCATATGAGTGGTGCATGACTGATGCATTTGATCCCGATAACCAAGAACATCAAAAAATTAAGGTAAGAAAACCAAAAGCATAAAATCAAGCTGTTGATAGATACTTGATTTACTTTTGAACGATTTCTAGATTGTGAATATATATAAAAGAACTTCATTGCCACAGGCAGAAATTGAGATTGGTGATGGCCTTCCGGACATCAGATTGACAGGAAAGTGTCTTGAAGCTTTGAAACAAGCAGGTTTTGAGGTCAGTAGGAGGGTTTTACTTCTTTTTGAAATCTATGCAAGGGAAAAGAGATTGACTTAATATTTTCTTTTCATTGTGAGCATAGGTCATATGGGAGAAAGATCTTGCGGTGGACTCACCTCTTCCATGGTACTTGCCTTTGGACAAAAGTCGGATTTCACTTAGTAGCTTTCGTCTAACTGCTGCTGGGCGATTTATTACTAGAAACTTGGTAAGAGCATGTATATGGTAGTCATTCAATGAATTGTTGAGCCACTTTCTATTGATGCGTTGTGGAATAGTGAATACTCCTGTGCTAAATACAATAAGCACAGGGATTAGTGCCTGACTTAAATTTTATTTTTTGTAGGTCAAGGTTTTAGAATATATTGGACTTGCACCAGCAGGAAGCCAAAGAGTTCAAGATTTTCTGGAGAAGGCAGCTGTAGGGCTGGTCGAAGGCGGAAAGTAAGTATTCTTTCTTTTCAGCTTGTTTCTCTCTTCTGAACCATCATCCACCTCATTGGGCAATAGTAAGTTTGCTCAAATATGTGGCATCTTGTTCTGTGATTCAAACACGAATCGACAGGCTGCCATGACTCCATAAAATAGAGTTGGACTAGAACGACGAATGCCTATTTAAGCTATAACTCTATGATTTCGTTCTAGAAGCATGCATATATTAGCTACTGACATCGATTATCCTAATGAATGTCTTTCAGGAAAGAGATTTTCACACCGATGTATTTCTTCCTGGCCCGAAAGCCGCTTATGGAGGAAAGTCAGTAGATTGGTAGTGCAGACTAGTTCATCCTGCAAGAGATTTGCAAAAATATGTTGGATATTCTAACTTGTTTTGAGTGTTGTGTCAAAGTTGCTTGTCTGTTGTTTTGTGTTTACATTTCCTGTGAGTTTATTCTGTATCTTTATTTGGATACAGACAATGAAGAATTAATTATTTTAATAGTATTTTTTTTTCTGGGCCTTGGTCACGTGCTATACCACGTGTGAGTTTGGACTTGTTCTCCAGCACCATGTGCAAAATTAAATCAGATCTATTATCACTCATGAGATCCACAAAGAACATGCTGTCTTCATATTTTATTTTAATCGAATTTAATTTGATACAAGACATTTTTTCCGGGTAATGTTAAGTAGATCAACAACTTAGAATAAATTTTATAAGTTATTGATGTGATTGCTGATGATGAGATTATTTTTTAAATATTGACTACAATATTTGTATTTTATTAATGACATATCATATAATTTTTAAATTTAATTTAAAAATTTAAGCTACTTAACATTATTCGATTTTTCCTCTCAATATCATTAATTTATTTCCCCTTCACATTGCTTTTTCTGTCAATATCATTAAATTATTTCCCCTTCACATTCTATGGGGAACAGAATATTTTATGTAAAACATTTTATTCAATTCAAAAGAAGGCATAAAGTATCAAGTCTGTTCCACACACTACAAATCAGTGTGCAATGTAGCCATAACATGTTGCCTCATTGAAACTAAACATTCACAAACAAATGAAAATATACCCTTGCCGACAAAATTTGAAGGGTTCGTCACACAAAAGGTGACATATTACGCGCTAGTTTTTTTTCCCTTGGCACAAATACTTTGCCCGACGATTATTATTTTACTCGTCGACCTATTTTCATCGGACAAAGGTCTCTGGTGAAAAAAAGAAAAAGAAAAAAATAAAAATAAAAACCCCGTTGACAACTTTTACCCGATCAAAGGTTTTATTTCGCCGGGTAAATTTGCTATGCCAGACGAAAGTTGTTTTGTTAGGTAAATGGTAATTTGTGGTGGTGTAGTTAGCTATAGTTCATGTATTAGTTCCTCCATTTGTTATATAAAGGATTGTTTAAAATTAATCTAAGATGCGAAGAGCTAGGAAGATTCAAAGTGAAATATGATTGTTGTAAGAGCTTCGAGCTTCAAAATCGAGTTTGACGCCAAGACTACAAGTAACAGAGCAACAACACGGTGAAGTCAAGGCGCTTAAACTAATGTTAGAGCCACCAAATAATACAAGAGCATGTACCGATTTATTACTAAAAAAATAAGTGCATCAATGATCAGTATTGCTAGAGTTCAACAATTATGTGTATATTGCATCACGATCTCTCTAATGTTGGTACGTAGGTTCCACCGATAAGAGTCTCAATCCTATTAGAAAAGTGAGTACACTGGTAAACAAAATATGTTGAAAATCCCGCATCAGAGATTTGACAACACTACTACAATTTATATACAAATGGTTTCATTTCTAATCCACTGATGCCTTTTAGGATAAAACCTCACACATCTTGGGCTACAGGTGGTTAAGTTGGTTGGTGCACAATTTCGTGGAATGTAGGTAGTGGTTATGATCGATTCGATATAAAAGAGGGCATAGTGTGTATTTTTCGTTGGGGATTTCCTGGAAAAAATCGTCGCATATTCCTCCGATTCCTTATGAAAGACATTCAGTCCATCAGAATAGAAATTAAAGAGGGTATTTATGCTCGTCGTGTCCTTTATATGGAAATAAAAGGACAAGGAGCCATTCCCTTGACTCGTACTGATGAGAATTTTACTCCACGAGAGATTGAGCAAAAAGCTGCTGAATTGGCCTATTTCTTGCGTGTACCAATTGAAGTATTTTGAAAAAAGGAACTGAAGAATGAGTACTTTGCAAGAGATAAAAAACTCAAGAATCATCTTTTTTTCTATAGCATAACTTAACTGAAGTTTCTTCAGAACGCTTACTCGAGCCAAAGCAAACGTATATGAAACAATTCTAAAACTAAATTGTTTATGTCCACAATTTTTTTATGCGTATGTAAATCCACTTAACTCAATTCAGTAACAAATCGAAATGATAGATTCATCATATACTTTGGGGACAATATCGGTATTGGACCATGTAGTCCATCTCTCTAAAACCTAGCTAAACAAGCTTGTCTCTCTAAAAGTTTAGCAAAGTATAATCTCTATTTTTAATTCGTTTAAGTTGTTAGATTTTATCACAAATTGTAGAATGCAAGCATGGATGGAGATACCAAAAAAATAAAAATACAAAGTCTCTAGAACAGAAGATTGATAATTTTTTGAAACCCTAATAGCCGGTATTTATTTGAATGCTATTACATCAAAGATATTTATGCTCACTCTACCCACGTCGATACATAAATTATTATGAAGGATAACAAGGATTTTTTGCTGATCTAGCAATCGTGTAAAGTCATGGACTGCGTCTAATTAAGATGTTTGATGTTGCAGTATTTGTTGGAGCAGTGACCCACGCAGCTTGCCCTTTTTGATTTGTCTGCCATGAAAAAAATACAACAAATAAGAATGGAAAAAAATTAAGAAATGGAAATTTTGAAATGGGATTTTAGATTTTAGGGCTTAAAAGAGATTTAGTTAGATTTTAACCTCAATGATTTTTGAAATCTAATTTAAATTTCTATTTTTAAAAATTATCATATTTAAATAATTATAAGACGTTTATTATTTATAAACTTACCATCCGAAATTCTCTACTTATCCATATTAATGTATTCTTTTGTGCTCCAATCATATTAATAGATATAAAAATTTATGTAAAATTCAAATTAAAGTCAACAACAAAATAGAAACAAGTTATATTTAAAAAAAAAAAAACTTATTGGTACGGAAGTATCGGTACGTAGGTTTCAGTACATAAGTTTCGGTACGAATGTATGAAAAGTAGATAATATACGAATATTCTTATTATGGGAACTTAATAATTTCAATGATAAATAACATTTTTATGGTTTATGGGAATCAATATATAACCTACACACAAAAAACTCAATAACTATTACAACCTAGTTAATATTCGAAAACTACAATTAAATATCAAGGACTGTAGTTAGTTTCTAATCTTAGGCAAGCTTTTATTCAAAAAGTAATCTCTTTCAAGGATTGCAATAGAATTTTTCGATCTTGAAAAGGAATTCAAATTATGTGCATCATTTTCATCCACACATGCACGTATCTTATGATTTATGACATTCGAATTGAATACATTAAAGGATAATCAAGTGACAAAAACAAACAGGAGCATTCATAAGGATAAAAATCGTGTAAAGGAAAAATGGAGCGTTGCTAGAGGTAGAAATTTTTAACGTTTAAAGGAAAAAAACGAGTATGCATGAAAAGAGAGGGCGCGTACCGTTTTTATATTTGGAACATTGGTAAAGTGAGCAACCCAGTTTGCAGTACTGAATAACCTGATCCACAAGACTTTGAGGCTGAGTATTTCCACACTTTCCTTTACATCGTTCGTAACATTCTGCGACCCAAGGGAAACTACAGGCGCCGTAGCATTCTTGGAGACATTTTTCGTTTGCGACGACCTGCTCAGTGACTAGCAGAAAAACCATCATCATCATCACCACAGAGCGTGTACGGGCGACACCAATATTCGACCTCATTTTTTAAAACTTAACCTAGTTACTCTGCCAAAAACAGCTTCTGAAATTCCAGGAGGCCAAGGATACCTTTTTATAGTCTCATTGTTCTTGAGTTGTTGTAATTCTTATACCATTCAAGTATACAAGGAAACAACATATAACCAGAAATGGACAAATTTAAATTTCGTTCATATACCTGTATATATGTTTGTTTATTATTCGCCAAATTAGGTATAATAAATAACAGACTTTATATATATATGATTTTGTGTGTTTGTATGGTTCATCTTTCAGGTTAGAACTACAACCAAGAAAACAACTAAAAGGCCCATCCGACGGTTGAACAAATTTGATCCGAACCATGATAGCGCTCCAAGAGATGAGCACTTTTTTTATTATTTAATTATATTTTTTACAAAAAGACAGTACAAAGTTCATTGGCTTCCATTTCACAATGTGAATTTTTATTTTTTTAAAAAAAAGTTCACGGCTTATATTCTTTTCTTTTTTAAGTTATTATTATTAAGAAGAATGAGAAAGGTTCGAACCTCTTACAAGAATTTATGAAGTGGGAGAATTTCAAACCCATAGATGGATGTGTGAAAACTTAACACTCTATTTACTAAGATATTGGATTACATGCTCTTATATTCATTCTTGCAAGGAATTGATTGCACTGGTGGATACAACATTTCTTTTTAATTCACTATATTTTGTGTTCAAATCTCTTTCCTCCCCTTAGTCTAGTTTAGAATAATAATATCGCTTATAGTAGAATTAAATAAAAACTATAATATATCTTAAGTATGAAAAATAGAATATTTTATTTTTAGAGCAACTTCACCCATCCATGAGTTGCCATGACAACGAGGCTCCCATGTACCTCATGAATCCCAGAATCTTTCTCCACCCATGCAACCGTTGAGCCAGATTCAGCCCGACTAGTAGCCCAGGCATATATTGACCAAGTATCTACCGGGGTGATGACAACTCTTAAATAGGTGCATTAAGACAATTATTATTCATTTTTTTCACGTAACACTAAAAAAATACGTGATGGGTGAATGATATTATAATAGTTTTATAAATTTCGAAACAAATATTGGTTAAATAATGCATTTAAACGGCAAGTTTAAATGGAATACTGTCGCACAAATTTTCTTTTAATAAGACGGATATTTTAGATAATCTTAGTCTATAGAAAAGGGATGCACTAAAGCTCAAGTGGCACGCATAGATGACCAATTGACCTAATCTATATATCATCTCATGCATATTAAACTGGCCTAACCGCAGCACACTCTAATCTATATATTATTAAACACCTCGTAATTCTTTCTGCATAAACATTTATTTTTAACCGCTTAACTTACAAAGTTTTTATGGTATATTTGGTATGTTGAATGAGATTGAGCCTTGGAGATATAATTAGATTGACTAAGACATGTAAATAAGAAACTTAGAACTCATGTATAAGGATGGATTATTCATAACTCATTATGTATAGTTATGTTCATCTTATATTTTGACACAACAAACAATAGATTGGAGTC